TCCGTTCGTTCAATCATATCGTGGATTGAAAGGTCCAAATCTACGCGGATGACTGGCTGCATGACACAGAATTTTTGGTGAGCGAGGCAACCGCGACTATTTATTATACTCCTGGACAGCAATATTTTCCTCTTTCTGCGTGTTAGTTCAGAATAAAAGTTCAGGACATTGATATTTCGTATACATAATATTAGAAACTATTGTAAACTATAATTTATTGTAAATAAATTATCTGAATATCATTGTAAATTATATGATATTGATAATAAATTCGAAAATTAACAGTTGAAAATGGGAGCATAACTGAACACATGATGATGAAGAACTGTCGATACTTGAAATCGTTATAACTTTATAGAAAGCTTCTACGAAAAATTTTTTTTACGATGTGATTCATCATGATTTTCAAAATTTCTTTTCCGCACGATTTATTTTCGCTATTTTATTAAATATTATAAAGATGACAAAATAATAGTATTTTTTAAATTGTTGTAATTTCATTCTAATATTTAAAGGTCAATAAAAGTATCATATAATAAGAAATTTCAATCTTCAAGGTTTGAAATGTTTTTAAAGTTTTGAACATTATTAAATTTTTAAAAAGAAGGATATTTTTTCATTTGCTACATGATGTTAAAATATCTTTGAAAGAAAAAAAACGAATTCGAAGTAGAAGCTTTACGCTTTAAAATGGTACAAAACTAACTCCATGAAAACAATTTATATTTTTTACAACAATGATAATAACACGATCGTAAAATCTTTTTCAAAAAGCATACGCATCCTATAAAACACTACATATTTTATTTCTTTTTATACTCTGCATTACAAATATCCAATAAAATATTATTTATGTTGAAATTTCATATGTGCATACATTCAGTTTTGCTCCTTACTGTATGTTAGCCATACTTATTCATAAAATCAGGATATACTCGATGTAAATATTTGCAAACATTTGCATATATCCATATGTACGTACGTATATGAATAAATAAATCCTGAACATTTAAATAATTAATGAATATTAGAATTGGTGTTGCACAGAATGGAAAAATGATAATTTCATTTCGCACACACAAGAAATGATGATATTTTCAATCGTATGGAGATACTTGTACCGATAACAAATAACTTTTTATTTCATTCTTTCTATACGATAATATCTTGTCATTTTAGTTATCTAACTTTCACACTGTAAACGTATAGACAGTCGGTTATAAACAACATTTATTTTAAATGATACACGTTCGATCATGGAAGAAAAGTGTAAACAATTTCAAACAACTTCAAAGCGAGGTAGCAATAACGTAACAAGACTTAAATTAAAGTACCAAGTTGCAACATCGACCGATGTATTGACACCGAGGTCGTTCCACGTTTACTATGGCTTCCTTTACGTTTCCCGATAGAAATTGAACCAAAGAGAAATCTCTATATAACTCTGAGGTTTCTGCTTTTTATCTTGTCAGGTTTCTGTCAATTCGCTCTTTCAAACGTACGTTATGTAAACTTCAACCTTTAACGAACTTCCCTCTCTCTAAATGTCGTGTAATAATTAATTGTCAGTTGCTATAGTAATTAGAAATCTATGCTATGACAAGGGTTAAGAGTCAGAGACAGAATTAGTCGGGATCTATCAGTCTATCAGTTCAACTCATTCAGACAGAACTGGATCACAGAATCAATCAGACCTCTCAAATCTAGCATAAACACTAGTAATTCAAAATCGAATTATTCAGTTCCAGACCAGAGCGTCGTCCTCCAGAAATAATTAGACGGATTAATTCGATCGTCCAACTGAACACATATAACAGATTAATTCGTCACGCAAGCTATTAATTTCAGGATTATCTATTAGAGGTTCCCATAAGTAATGTCGTTTTTCGACATTATACGTACAAAATTTCATTTTATTTAAGAGTTAATACAGTATAGTAATCTATAACGTAATTTAACGATAAGCACGCTAAATACCAAATTAATCAACATATTTAAGTAGAATATACGTTATGTTATAATAAGTTGAATTATTGTCACTAGATGGTTATGTTTATTAAATTTGAAAAAAAATTACTTTATATTGCTTATGGGTAATACATTTACTGTAATAAAAATCTCTAAGATTGGTAATATGGAAATATGTATATGTGTATGACATGTTATATATACGAAAATAAAGTGATACGTTATCTTAAAATGAAACAGTTCTGATAGCGAAAGCTGTTGTGTCAACAAGCTGCGATAATTTCTACGAATTTATATGAATATTATCTTATGTATTTCCAGTCGTTAAAATAAATGTCCAAATGTTTAAAAGCTCAATGAATCTGACAGAGACGAAACTGGGAAATTTGCAGTAAAGCGTGCTTAAAAATATTCATATCTAAGTCCACGTGTGTACTCTTAGTCTCACAATCGAACCTGCTGGCACGTTCAAACGTCTGAGACAATGAACATAATTACAATTACGGCGATCCGCAATGCGATACGAAACTTTTCAATAATTGAAATCACAGGGAATAACAATCCAGTGGCAACTGCGCCGGATTTTATGTGCCAGATCGCGAATTCCAGCGGCGGCACTAACTTGCAGTTTCAAATGTATATATTAGAAACTCAAACAAACCGTAATTTATGTTGGCGAGTGTGCATTCACGTTCACGGTGTATCCAACGATGTATACAACGCTGCACCCTATTACCCGCCAAATTAATATTGGGTGACTTATTCGCGAAGGAGAGAGTACCGACTATCGGACTATCAACGGCTAACGAGCATTCTCTCTGAATGCTTGAGAGGATTCGTACGTTTCTTGTCCTTGATCTCGTCTCGGGACGAGATTGACGATTTACAACGAATCGAACGATTCTATCTTTGTGTATCACCAGTGATTGTGAGACGATGCTTACGATTCGAGTAGCTTTCTATTGTAACCAGAGTGAATGAGCGCAAGGAGACAGTAGAAATGATTGGGCTAACAATAAGGATGCTAACAATCATTAGCAAGTAATGATTCGTTCTGGCTGATTAGACGATTCTGGATTCATTCGATCGAAAGATATCTATTTAAAATCATTTAGTTGCGTGCTAATTTTTCTGAAATCAATCTACTTATCTGTGAAAAGATGATCGATAATTGTCATTGAAAATAAGTTAAGTCGATTTTATATTACTTTATAATTGCTGACTTTATATTTTATACTTTATCTACAAATTAATCGATTACAAATAACATTAACTGTAACTACTATTATTATTAATTACCATAAATCCATCCGAACACATGAAACGTTCATTTGACAATTTTCCGCAAAAATAATCACGCGCAATTCATAAATAGACGGGTGTCAAGCCAGGCTTGTTTCCTGTTGATTCACGGCGACGTGTTTATCGAAAATATGGGAAAAGGCTAAGCCAAACAAGTCTCGACCGATCGTTTCTGCACACATCGTGTCAAGACTAAACCCGCACTTGTAGGTTCACAAATGTTTGTAAGCCATTTGAACGGCCGGTAGAGGTGGGCAAGTGTTTGCCAACATTTGCAAATATTATCGAGAAGTGTCGGTACTTCAAACGAAATTAGCTGTTTGTGCGCGTTCAGTGGGGATTTTCGCCATTCCTTCGTGGATCAACGACGAACGCTTGCTAACGTCTTCGAGCGTTTGCGATCGTTTATGCACGATCGGTAGTACCGCATGTCTAGCGAACCGTACGTGAAGCAAACACGGTGCACGTATATAAATACGCGTTTACGAACTGTCTTTGAAGATTACGGACGTTTGGGGAATTGTGATTTAACTTATGTCTAATGGCAAAGAATTGTCAATTAACTTTGACATGTTTAATAATTCTTACGAATGGATTTTGATCGTAACTCTCTATTCTGTTTTTGTATTATCTTTTACTTGTCATCTTTTAATTTTTCATAAATTTTCTCAGAATGACTGTACAAAAAGAAATATTTGTTGTTTAGATTGGCTATTAGAGACTTAATTAAATAAAAGTGTGAGATAACAATGTAAATTAGATACTTCCGTAAATCATTGATATATAATTTGAAAAATTATTTTCTAAGTGATGAAATTGTAAGATCTCTTGTAACAAGTGCAATATATGTCAACTGTTAATATACACACTTTAATTATTAAATATACGAATATAAGCGTGTAGAATGTGAAAAACTGCAAATACGTTCAAGTAGATCATTGTATGTATGTTGCACAGAGTCAAAGTACTGAAAAGAATATTGTAGATGAAATCGTACCATCGTGACGCAGTTTGATAACTGGTGCCACTGATATTAACAAAGATACTGAGTGTGTTACTCTTCAAACGTACGTGTATGTTTTACATTGTATAATAGAAACAACATACTAAATTGATAATAAAAGAATAAATATATACAGTTCCATTTTAATTAAGACATAATCAGAGACAGTGGAAGTGTTACTACGTCTGTTATTAATTATTGTATATAAACTTTTATTATTTCATATTGATGATCAGATTTCTTCAAAAAATGTTAAATATTAAGCCTGAGATTTCTTTCTAGTATAAAAAAAAAAGTATCCAGTTATATAAATTTGAAAGAGTGGAAAAGAAAAGAGTAGAATATCTGAATTTATGGAACTAGAAGTAATCAAAGTCATCTGTAATTTTTTAAACATGTTTCAAGATCAAAATGCTTGAATACGCGTTTCCCGTACACTTTTCAAATTGCTCTCCTATCTAATTAATCTCGAGAAAGAATTATACCAGCAGTTGGTATCAACAATCTGAAATTATTCAATCAACGGAGTGTCGATGGAAGGTAGGATGACGAAGATACATGGATCAGATGTTAATTAACCGGCACCTCGATTACGGATTGGAGCCGTTAAATGCGCGAGACCGTTAGATATATAGTATAGTTGGAATGGAGATTGGCCTCAAGATGCATTATATGTGGATTATGTCGGGATCTGTTTGCAAGCTTGATAGTAGGTCAGCATAGTTACCTTGCCCGGAAGAGGTACGAGCACCGGATGTTCTTTGGGTAAGAGGACGGGTACCGTGGCGAGTAGAAGCGTCCATACTGCCGTTTCGACTGCGAACTGACAAACTCAAGATCGCACATCGTGCCGGGGATCAACACGCCGTCCGTCTCGAACAGTCCTGCAACAAAAATCGATGATAAAATAGCAAAGAGAAACAGTGAGAATATCAAAAAGTAAGAGTGTGTTCAAACACACTGTTTCCAGTGTCAAGAACAATGTTTCCATCTGATTTTCATTCTATGTCAAAGACGTAATGGATAGAAAATAATTAATACCATCTAATTTGTATTCTAAGTCTTATATAATATTATATAATTGAGTAAACATTTTTTAATGACGAATATCTCATAGCGAAAAAATGAGTTACATACTTTTGAAAGAAACTGAGGATCATTTGTACGTTTATTATCTTGTGAGTTGAATAATTGATTATAATATTTATTGATTAAATTGATGTACGAACACATCTCTTCAAAAGTACTAGATACTTACGGTGAATAAGAAAAGTCTGGAGAAAACTAGTGAAAAATTACACAAATCTTCGTTTGTTTCGTTCTCAAATATTTGGACTGTAAAGATTCTACATGTACAATGTTTCAATAAAAATTTCATCAGTGTAAATTATCCAATGTAACTTCTTAGAGTTTCCTATCACATTCATTTCGGAACAATTTAATTTAAAAAACTGTCAACGTTAAAATAATTCTGCAAGTCTTTGCCGTATGATTCAGATCTTGTATAAACACAAAATTCTAACAAATATTGATTAATATTTTATTGATTAATTTTCCTAAGCAAAAGTGTACACAACGTCTGAAATCGATCATCTTGTTATGCTCGAGGTTTTCAAATACGCGAATAACTCTACTACACTCCGTATATATGATTCGTCGCAACGAAATTTACTGCCACTCGAAACTTTCGGACGTCCGCGGATATTTTCCATTAGAAATTTCAGCTTTTCCAAAACTCGTATCCAACGCTCGGAAGTCATTTCAACCGGAACATCATGCACCAAGACTTTCCAATTTCCACGCATTCCCAATTAGGAATGTTTCCGTAACTGATACCGAGCTGGTCGTTCGATTGCCCTAAAATCAGAAATTTCGTGTATCCAACGATATCTGACCGTACGCCCATGTCAATTTAATTTAATTAACACGATCGATCGAATTCGCATTATCGTGTTAGTCGAATTATTCAAACACTCCGGCATCCTTTGCGGCCATTGATGGAAACAAAAGGAAATCAACAAGATGAAAAGTCTACCGTGTTTAATTAATTAATTAATTAATTAATTAGTACGTTATTTAATTTTATTCTTAACTTTTCATCAGGAAGAATGTAAAACCCGGAATGGAACAAGATATTCCGAGTTTTACTAATTTGACGTAAATTATTGTAGCCATCCATGAACCAAATACTAATTAAAAAATAATAGCACGTAGGAATTCTTATTTCGATAGAAAATATTTTTAAATCACTATTAACACTATCATTAACAAGATAATCAAGAATAATACCAAGAAATAAATATCACAGTATCGTTAAGTCTGCACGAATTTTGAACCTTTCGATCGATTCGAAGCTACACGCAATGCACTCACGTGCTTTTCAAATTTCACTTTACGCATTTAAAACCGTCGTTCTCACTTTCCATCCGCAGTTACTTTCAGATAGGTCATTATCTGCTTCGAAATACGTATCAAGGAACGATACAGAACTGTAGTTAACGCGAACCGTTGGACCGTCACATTCCCGGTGAAACAGCGGAGCGTTCATCGTGGATCGCAAACGAGGAATAAAATAAATCCGGCGTTGAATGGCTACGGGTGGAAAAAATTGTTCGACGACGAGTTATCTCCGAGACATTGCAGTCCCTCGTGAATATTCGGATTCGAAGCGAGAGGTGCCAGCCTCGAACGCGACGCCTTGGAATCCTATAATCTTCGTCTTTGTTCCGACGAAACAAAGGGGGAGGGCGGTGGTTTTTCAGACGGATCATCGTGTGCAAATGGATCGGCTCAATTAGCGAACAAAACGCTATTTTCCATTAGGGTGGGGTTATTTCGATGGATTTTACGATGTCGTGTTCTAACAGCTGGCAGCAATATCCCGAATAACCGCATAATCACGAGGACAATAAGGAAAGGGGAGCAAGATGCTTGCGGCGATGTTCGCTGCTACATGACAGACCGCAACTACTTATCTTGACAAATGGCGATTATCTGCTCGGGGGATGCCTAACTGACATAATCGGGCTACGATATAATGACACGTCAACACCTAAATGCGCTGGAACCGTATCGTTGACTCTATCTCCCCAGCGAGGGATGGAAGAAGCAATAAAACATTGCGATTTTGTAGAGGAACTAGTGAAATTATGTACACAACAATTTCCGTACGCTGAATTCCCAATGTTTGACAAATTGTAACTGTTGTGTGAAAAATTTTATGTCATGTTTTAACAAAAAATCATACGACAATGATGAATCTGGGTTTCTTAGCTACCTAATGAATTATGGATTCATTTTTCCCCCAAAGTATTCTCACATCATTTATCATAATAAGAAACAAAAGATAATATATATAAATTCAAATGTTTCTCGAGGATTGTCTCGAGGTACATATGTACATAATATTAAATATATAAGAGATTCATCCGTACATATTATTAATAGTATAAAAGACTCATCCATACATGTTATTAATAACATAAGAGACTCATCCGTACATATTGTTAATAATATAAGAGACTCATCCGTACATATTATTAATAACATAAGAGACTCATCCGTACATATTATTAATAATATAAGAGACTCATCCGTACATATTGTTAATAATATAAGAGACACATTCGTACATATTATTAATAATATAAGAGACACATTAGTACATATTATTAATATAAACATAAATATAAATTTATATTATGAATATAAATTGTTTTCGTGCAGTCAGTTTTGCACCACAATTCATTTCAATGAAAAGTTGTCAATACTGTAAACTGTTTTTAACTTTGTTAAAAAAAAAAAAAAATCGTAGAGCAATGAAGCAATCTATTTAGTCTTATTTTTAAAGCTTCTGTTTTTACTATCCTGATTTTTTTACTATGCTGATTTCGTTTCTTTCCTTAAAAAGAAAAAAAAAAAAAAAATAATAATGGCAAAAATTCACACACATATAAAAACATTGAAAAATTTTATTTATGACTGAATTCATCACAGTATTGAGGATTAAAGTTTGCAACAGTTCTTTAAAACTCTGCTATACAATTTTTTTTCATCGTTTTATTAAGCTTACAACATTAGAGTTGAAAAATGCTTCTCTTAATCTTCGAAGTTCAATAAAATTGCAAAGAGAGAAAAAAAAAAGAAATCGTACAATAAATTTTAAGGGATCGTTGTAAAGAGAACATTTCAATTTTCAAAACTATGATGGATCACGATGATTTGAGAGTAAAAGCACTCTTTATTTTTTTCTCTACACGATCATGTAAAAGTATTTTTCGGAAAAAACGAACCTAAACCAGTCAAAGCAGAAGATTTACGCTTGAAAACGAGACGAAGTAGATCCCCATATGATTTTCTTTTTACGAAGTTATAACAGTTTAAATTATCATTACGTGTTCAGTTATGCTCCTTGCTGTATACGTCGCTGGATCGTAAACTTTTATCTCGAATTCAATTCATTTCGACGTTTTATACGCCTCTTACTTCTGATCCTTTCAGCTGTTTAGCTCCCCATTTTTGCAAAGGGTGGATCTCTTGCATTTATGTTTCTTTGCCGTCATGTCCCCTAGTGGAAAAGTTTCTGTGCGCTCCTGGCGAGATATCTTTTACGCGATGTGGTCGTACGTGTACAAAACATTTAATGGCGAACATCCGGCGTTGCAATAAAACTGCGCTCGCGAAATCCAAGAGCCAAGGTCGGGGAAACAAAGAAAATTCAAGGAACGCTGTTTCCTTGTGAGTGTGTTGGTGAAATCGTGAAAGAAACAGGTGGCTCTGTCGTTGTGAGGCAAAGTAAGAATCCATTTAGACGTCAATAAACCAAATGGAGATTTGATGTACATTTTGATTCTCGACTAATTAGCCTCTTAATTAATCCGAGAGTGAAGCATAATTAAACTGTGAATGTTCATGCATTTTTAAGATGCCAAAAATCTGCAGAATAATGTGCAGAGTTATATATTGTATAAAATATTCAAGCTAGAATTTTTATCATGATATTTACTAGATGAATTAAGACTCCATAAAAATTTGAAATTGCTTAAATATTCGCAATCTATTATACACTATATTAAATGTAAATTAAAATTCATATAGGTATTCTGTTTTTTATTATATAATAATTCTATATTCTGTTTTCTATATTCTGTTTTAATTCTATATTCTATATTCTGTTTTTTATTATATAATAATTTGCGGCAAATTATCAGTATTTTTTTGCTAGCTCCAATTCCTGACCAAACAGTTCGACATTTACATTCAGAATCTATAGATGTTTTTGTATTTTTCTTTGGTAATGTTATTTAGATCGTGAAATTATTTGTTACGAATTTTTTTTAACACGTACTTTATTAATATGTATTTTCGAAATACGTCATCTGAACATTGCAATTCGTAGTTTCAGCTTCTATCATTCGAAGGGAGTGGTAACTTTATCAAAGTTTAGTCGCTGCTCATATTAAATCGGAACTTTGATACTCAGCGACAGATCAGTTCAAGTTCAATTCCCTCGCGTGGCATTTTCTGTTTCAAACTTTCAGTACGTCTTTCAACTGCGCAAATCTGAAAAATATATTCTCACCGCGAAGTATGCGTTCTTACTCGGATAATTGTTCTTACTTAAATTTGTTCAAATGCTTCAGAATCAATGCTATATATAACACAGTGAAAAGTTGACAACTTAATCTGTATAACTTCGTAAAAAAGAATTACAACACCACTTGGTCACACTGAAAGCATCTAATTTTAAATGAATTTACTTGACTTCAAAGGCTATTTTTCACCATGTAGCACGTGGGAAAGTAAAGATATTTTTATTCTCGGTTTTAAGGAAAAATTTACGCGCCTCTGAAAACGTTTAAAAAAGTTTTTCCATGGCTAGAAT